TAACAAAAGATTGCATCGCAATGGCAGTCTGTAAGTTAGAAAACTGGTTTCGGACACCATTACAGCCCTGCCCCCCGCAAATGTTGTCTCTTGGCGCGGAAGCAGCAAATTCTTTCCTTGTGTCCACAAATAAAAAATCGCAGATACATAAAAACGAATACCACAGGTGGCAGAACTGGTACAAACAGAAAAATGCGGCTGGCAAGTAATTTTTCTTATTTCTTCTTCGAATTACAGTTCGCGAGTCTTGACCTCCTCCGTTGCAGACATCTTGTAAATCTTCTTCAGACAAGTTTTAGACTTAACAGGGAGTTTAGCACGAATCATCCATCACATTCACGTTCACAGCGTAACAACAAAACACGGAAAATATGCAAATATGCCCGTCATTCCAACGTTCAACGGAACTGACGGATGTTCAGCGGTCATCCTGTAAGTGGTTGAACAGGGTGCGTGAAAGCAAGCCCACAGGACACGACAAATTGTCGTCTGGAAATAGCCGTGGTCATTATCTCGTAAGCGCTTATTTCTCATAAATTAATAGACGTCATGAACATATAAAAGCCTAAATCACTAAACAACCAAACCAAAAATGCAAAATGTTACAATTACGACGAATAAAGGACAAGAAGCATCAGTATAATATTTTCTTTACTATGTATGTTAATTATATACAATTAAAGAATCAAACAAATGACATCTAGCATGAAAATATTACTGTATGCCAGAGAATATCGAAACTGGTCACTCCCTGAACGCAACTTTTGGAATAATCAAAAGGCTTCTGATGCAAAGGGAACTGAAATACTCATCTTTTGTTTTGTTCTTAATATAAGAAAAATGTAATACATTTTGATTCTAAAAACTGCCAGTCCGAAATTCATGTTCGATTGCGTGGAGATACAAATCTACGCCTTCATACATCTTCATGGCTTGGTGCTTAAAGCGCACGGATATCTTATTTTGTTTTCAATCCAGGGTTTTTGAGAACCAGTCGTTAAATTTTGACGAAAATACAAACGAGTTGTAGTTTGAGGCATAAGCAAGCTTTTTCTATTATTAATACGGAAGCCAAAGCGTTTGCGTGGTCACCGTGGTAACCCAATCAAACATACAGCACACGCGTCGCCGATGCGATGTTTACTCTCAGTAACGCAACCGATTACGCTACAAAACAAAGGACTTGCGGGTAATACTTCCAGGATGGACGAAAGCTCAACTTATCGACTATCTGTATGATTGACAAGTGAAACTGTGAACTATATACAACTCGGCCGACGGCAAGAAAATGGGTTCACATGTCTTGTACTTTGGAGTAGAACCGGCGAGAGGGCGTCGTAGTGCGTAAGTAAGTTTCCGTTCTTTTGAGGGTTACAGTATTTCTTATACTCTATATTTTATAAAACAAATTAACATCGCATATTGAAATAAGGGTTTAACCTTTTTTACGAAAACTTTTTTAATACTGACATTTAAGTAAGCGACACCATTTTAAACATTTTAAACATAGTGACGTTATAAATCTAATTATTAAAGCGTATAGAACTACAATTTTACCTGGGACAAGCTGGATCGATTGTTAAAGCTTTTTGAACGTTTTACCTGCAAAGACTTTGTAACGTTTCAGCAAACACTGCAATTACCACCTTCAGAGTGAATTTCTGTGGTGGTAGTAGAAAGCGCTTGTAAAGACGTGGCAGAAGAAGTTAAAGTAAAGTTACGCCATGTAAGTGCTTGGGGGGAGTGGAGGTATAGCTCCTACTCATTCTTAACCTCGGCACTAGATAGGGGTGTGTGGTTAGAGTCACGCCACGACCGCGCTTTACCCCCGGGTAAGGACCCCGTTACCCCCATTGGACAGGAGGCTGGATGGGCCCCAGAATCTGTCTGGACGCAGAGGTTAGAAGAAAACTCCTCTGTCGGCGTGCAGAGGATGGGAAACTTCGTCTCTAAGAGAAAGATCATGGGTTGAAGGTCACAACAAACTGTCGAGGTCTCTCAGCGTTGATGGAAAGGTAATACACACAGTTACAAGTATCTGAGAAATAGTGTAACGATGTGCAATGGATTGGACTGACTCGTGACGGCGGGCTTCTTTGATCAAAGCGATGACATTTCTGATTCCACAGCGACAGGAAAATTCTAGACCATACATTTAGTTATTTTCAGTACTTACATTCAGTTTGAGAACTACTGGGGTACTTCAAGGGGGGGGGGGTTAAAATATTAAAATTTATAACCAAATATTACAAGGTCGTTAAAGTTTCGACAAAAAAATCATAAATTCATCATTAAATTTTAATTCCTCCGTGAAGTTTCCAATCTTCAGAGGGAAGTAAATTAACTGATAGGAGCAATGCAAAGCAATCTGATAAATGAAACTGGCACCAGATAAATTGCTGAACGTGAAGATGGTAACAGGAAAATACGCCACTCTTGATAAAATGAGTTTGGCCGAAAAAGAAAGCAATATGTTAACACCAAACGCACAATCAGTAACTATATATCCATGATAACAACCTGTGAAGCATTTTCATTGTAGTTCACGCGACAATTGAAACACTTAACAGCGCTGCGCCGTGTACAATGTTTTTGTTTCTTGAAGGAAGTCTAACAAACAGAGCCACTATGTGCTTCTGAGTTCCGTAATTATTCTCGGCCTTCAGATCAGGTTTGCAGCATGACTGAGGTCTCCTTTCTTTCCGCACCCACGTCAGTGGCATACAGTGGTTACCCAAAAATAAATTCATTATGTTCACGCACGAAAACTTACAAGGAAAGAACTAAATTTAACGCGTAGGAAATTACAAGAAACGTCGTTGGAGAAATGCGCCTTATATTCGGAAACGCATGTCACAAGTTACCTCCGAGCTTCTTTGAAAGGCGTTTCACTCCTCCATCGCCTTTTCTGTCTTTTCTCCCCCTCTTACTACGACGCAACACAGGATAGCAGATATTTTGCATAAGTTACGACACAGTTCTGGCCGCAAGACGCATGAGGCAAATGATTCGCAAACGGGGTTGTCTGCTGACCCTAAGCACGCACGAACAGTTTCTTTACTCACGTAATTAATTTAAAGACGCTTAATCAGTTACAAACATAATTATGACGTCAAACGAGAACTGTAATTACACATCTGAACTGTAAGTTGGAGGATTAGCAAGTGTTTAAGTGGAATATAGTTCGAATCCCAGCCAGAAAGTGACCATCTTAATTGAGACTTTCCATGATTTCAGAATGCTGGGATAACAGAGCCGTCACATTCGTCATTTGTTTTTCTACAGATTTCAAAAGACGCTATACATAATCGATATAGGGCGAAGCAGTTGGTACATTTTTACAACTGTCATGACAAACAATGTGCCGCGTCAAAGGTAAAGCGTCACTGATGTCCAAAGCCTTGGGATCGTGAGAAAACAAGTCTGTGACCCTTCGGCTCCTTGCAAAAAGTACGCAGAATATAAAACTGCAGAGAAGGCATCTGGAAAATATAATCTTTCCTTTGTTTCTTCAGTTACCTTCCGGCCAGAATGTTGAGTAGATAAGAGTCATGTTCATCCTCCTTTCCTTATAAGACAAAGATAAGCCACACTGAACTCGCGTTACTCATCGGATTTCAAATGCTTATGTAGGCGTTGCTTATCAACCGACTCCGAAGAATCTGATGACAAGAAGTTGCTGCATTTCATTCCGAGAATAAATTACTGCCAAGTGTAAAGTTGAATCCTCTTGTATGCGCAGTACGATGTCAAGTTACTCTCGCTACAAATCCATTTTTAACGGAGATCAAAACAAATTACATGGCACAGATTTCTCCTCATATTCTGTTACACATCGCAGCGAAAATGGTCTTATAATGTTGGTTTCGTCTTGTGGGCCATGACGCCATGTGGACTTGCAGGGGGTAAAAACGTTTCGAAGGAACATAATGCCTCCAACTTCAGGGCGACACAATACAAAATACCAACGTCGACATCTTCACCACCATTACAGCATAAAATGATCTTCGTTTCCAACAAAATTAACGAATCTTGGCCAGTTGTACATTTTATGTTCTGTATCCTTGAAATAGGGAGGGCGAGCCATTTGTTTTCTTCCAGCTTCATTTGAAGCATGATTTGTGTTGGACCGGAACGAACAAAAATTAAATTCGCCCGACAAAGTTCAGAGCACAACAACTGCGCCATGATTTTTGGACGTGAAGCATGCACACACACAGAAACAATCCCTCCATTTGGCATTCACATACTGAAAACTCAGAAGATGCCTTCTCTTGCAAAATTTGAGACTGAACTAAACACATGATACAGGTCGGCTTTCGGACATAAGTTAGTAATTGGGTAGGCCAATACAGCGAAGTGGACGAAAAAGTCGATAATGCTAGCGTCATATAATGGTGCGGAAATAGTGATCCATACCAGACATCAATTCGTTACCTGAACGACGACTTAGACGTGGACTGGCTGAAGGGTTTGTCTCACAAGTAGAGGGAAGGGCCAGTTTCAGTTTATTTGGAAACGAAGTGCTGTCGAGAATGTCCGGACCTAAGCGACGTGAATTAATGAATGGCTTAAACCAGAGGTTCCCAAACTTTTATACCTTGCGCCCCCCTTAAAACATTTCATAATTTTCACGCCCCCTTCCAGAACAAGTGCAAGCAAACAGATTTGACATAAAATTTAGCTATGAGTATACAGCACTGTAAGACAACTAAACTGCCTCAACCAAGCATAGGATGTTAAAAATGTTTCTCCATATTTCGTTAAAAAAAGTTTTCCATACAAACAACCCCCTCAGAAAACCACTCGCGCCCCCCAGGGGGGCGCGCCCCACACTGTGGGAACCTCTGGCTTAAACTAACCACTGCATTCACTGATTTCCACCTCTGAGTGACTGCAAATTAAGTTTGTAGAGATTTATTTTTTATATAATGTACAAATTTTACACTGCACATTTTTCGATCAATTTAATAAAACTCGTCCTGGACTGCAAGCATGGAAAATACTTTTCTGTGCGAGTGAAATACCATCTTTCACATTAAAGGAAGAACGCAGATTGAGGGTGTATGAGAACTGCACACCGACTTCCTGCTGGTCGAGGGCCGTGGAAATAACTTTTAACGCGGTTAGAGCACGTTAGAAATTGCACAGTGCAGAGTCCTGCAAACTGCACTCTTCACCAGACACTTCTTGGATGACCAAATCAAGAAGGATGGGACGGGCGGGGCAATTTTGGTTGGAAAGACTGAAGAGAAAAGGTCACTCGGAAGACACAGGAGTAAATGGGAGGATGTTAAAATGAGTCTTTGGGAAATATGTGTGGACTGGATTCATCTTTCTGAAGATACGAACAGCTTGCGGGCTGTTATGAACACGGCAATGAATTTTTGGGTTCCTTAAAAGGCGGCAATGACTAACCAAGCGACTATCGATCGGTCTCTCAAGAAAATATCTGCTCCATGTAGTAAGTTACTTAGTTGGGGCCTATATTGGACATAAATGGACCGAAATTAATTTTGGTACACTTCTCAACAGCACATATCATAAAGTGTGGGTTAAATATACGGATAGATGTAACTCACCATTGCACATTCATTTTGTGAACAGCGAAGAAAGAATAAACAGAAGATGGGGGCGCAGGGGCTGTGCTATCCGAATCGATGAGATTCTGCCGGGTCCAGGCCCGAAAATGGAAATGACTGTTCAAATGTCACTGTATTAGCATCATTCGATACGACAGTGGAAGTGTTACTGGTAAACCGTGTGTAAATTCTTTTCATACTAGACCCAGACATTTTTATTTAAATTTGAACAATGGGGCTTAAATAGCAACACCAACATTTACAGAGATAACCCCTAGCAGGTCGCGGTTTGATGGTAGTGGCAGAGCAGAGCGTAGCCAGCACAGATTATGTGGTCGGTGTCCTTGGTGCCTGCAGGTCCGCTGTATCGTGCCCGATCCGTCACCAGTGGCATTGTTCATTGCCGGCTACCAGCACGCAGTCATGCAGCCAGTGATCCAGTGAAATACACGCACAGAACTGTACCAGAGCTTGCAGCTTGAGAACTTTTGAAAGTTTGGTTTTGGTGAGTACAAGTATAAAACGAAACAATTTCTACCTCAAAATAACACTTCAACCTCTATTGCTCTTTTGTGGCATATTTAAAACTTTGGCTCCTACCGCCCTCCAAGAAGACACCACACGTTCGATCTATATAGTATTTAAAACTGTTTTTCGACAGCCATCAATAAAACTCCGACTTTCTTACGTATTTCAACAATACAATTTCGCTTACATATACAAAAAAAAACATCTTCGTTATAAAAAAGTGTTTTATGTTGCGGCCTGTATACAGACGACCTGACTCGTGAAGGATAAGTATGTTAAAAATCGTCTTAAAAGCACTGTGGTGGTCGTCATTAAAAAAATTCTGTTCAGTCCAGTCCTCGTTCTTACATTGAAGGATATTCTCTGTCACGGTCACGTGTATGGGACGGGTACGCAGGGAATTCCCCAGTTATGTAGGATTTGAGGTTTTCACGGCGGTGAGTCCAATGATGGTTGTCTTCTGGGTTGTTGCGCCGTTCTGCCAGACTACACGGCACAACAACCCAGAAGAGCCATCTTCAATTCCCCAGTTTGATGGTACAGTGGCCAATGAGCGTTACGTCTTACACTCTTTGCATTTAATCAACCGGTTTTAATAATTTAGCCTTATTAAATTAACATCAAACGTAAGTACAAAAAGTGGGAATGAAAAATGCCTCGGTCATAAAATTATTTTAGTAATAAAAAACACTTCTCAATCCACAAATCGAAAAAAAATATGTTCAATATTTTGGGCTTCTGAACCGTCCAAATAAGGAGTTATGTTCACCTACCAACAGTTCATCCAACCACACAGTCACGCAAGCAACCCTTAAAAACCATCCATCCACCCAACAGTGACATGTCACATTGGTGCTGTACAATAGCGCCTCATAGCCGCGGCAACTTTTCCTGCACGTGTGTATTGCGTTAAGTCTAAACACATGTGAAAGTAGCTGATTTTGTACTTGAACGAGTTGCACCAAATTTAAGTTCGATGAATTGGGATGCCCCCAGCCTCAAAAGTCTGACATCAGAGCAAGCAGCATGGGACAGCATCTAGGGTCGTGACCAGCGAGAGTGCTGACACGTAAATACTTTGTCACGTGACTGGCCGTGTTATTGTTATGTCTCATTTGCAGCTGCGTGAAGATTTTGCATCACTAAATTTTAAACTACAGTCACTAATCATGTCGCGCTTATGTCACGTGGATGCAGAAAAACAAACGAAAAAACCTCCGTCTGTCAGTGGTCTCTCCGATGGGGGTGGGGCAGATGCAGAAGCTTCGCGACCGAAAGATGTCATGTGGATTAAATTAAATTTTTACTTCATAGAAATGCGGAGAAAAACACCTAATTCGATGAAAACCACATTATATTGGCAGTCAGACTCCAGTAGTTAAACACGAGTTATTTCAGGGTCAGCATTTTTCGCCTTACAGGCAGAAACACAAAATTTACACTAATGTAAAGGTCCACAAATAATATTTCAATTATTCCTATTGTAGTTATATTCATTAAGAGCCTCATTTACACACACATTTAAAGGTTGGGTGGTAAAGAGAAAAATCACGACACTGGTAGGAGTTAAACCAACACTCTCACCTCTTGTTGAGCCGAGGTAGTACGGTGAGTGTTGTACTTGATGACTGGGGTTCAATTCCTGCCAGGGGCAAAGGACTTTTATTCTAGCATCTACATCAACACCAGCTCTGGGGCCCACCCAGACTCCGATTCAATGGAAATGAGGGGTGCTATCCCCAGGGTTAAAGCACAGCCAGGGCATGATGCTGACCACTCACCTCCATCCAGTGCCAAGGTAAAGAATTAGTAGCAGCTATATGTCTCTTCCCTCATGCGCCTCCATGGTGTGTAGTGGGACAGCATTACTGCATTCTCCACTCTTGGCTCCACAGCAGATGGAAGAAGGGAACAAAAGTGGATAATTTGTAATTAGCTTCTTTCACAAATATGGCTTCATGCTTTGAAGGAAGAAGATAAATGAATAGTGTCTGAGAAATAGTGCTCAGGAAAGTACTTCATACACAAGGGGTTGAGCAATAACAAACTCATGTGTACAGGTCACCTCATATTGTTGTGATAGAAAATCTTGGGAGCTACAATGGGCCGAGCATGTAGCTGGAATGGAAGAGGCTGTGAATGTATAGAGAGAATTTTGAGGGGGGCTTGGAAAACCACCACATGGAATTTAGGATAGATGTTTGGGAAGTACAAGTGAGGTGAAAAGAGCTGCCATGTTCATTGGCAGAATTTATTAGTGGTGTTGAACCTTGAATTATATATGTAAGATTTGAGGTTTTCACAGATTTCTGTCTTCTGCGTTGTTGCACTTAATCGCCCTGATGACGGAGGAGGTATGACCTCTGAAACGTTGGTAAACATCGACCAGACTACACAGCGCAACAATCCAGAAGACAGAAATGTTTTAATTATATACTACACAGAAGTAGCTGGTTATTTCTACAACTATGCCAACTGGCCTGAAATAGGAATTTATGCTCAAAATATTATTTGTCTTTCAGGGCGTTCTGGTCATGGGGTCATGCTGCAGTGGCTCCGACAGGGTTGAACCTACCAATGAAAGAGCCACAGAGGTAGGACATAGCTGCAGAAATATTATCCCTACTTACATGACTTGGTTAACAAATAATTTTGTGAAAATTTGGCCAACAAAAGGTTTTTTAGTGGTTTAACATTACCATTTATGTTCACAGCTTGATAATATAAGCAAGAGTGAGGGAAATGAATCAGATTTCCAACTTCCTGTGAAGAAACGAAGCTGCACAGATGTCTTTTTCTTGATCATAATGCTGCTATTCTTAATTTCACTGGTACGTTGGCCTCAAGTCAAATGCACTTAGAGCAGAATACACAGTTACAGTGTAAAATGAAATGATTATGTAATACTTCAATGACAGTTTAGTTTTTTGGATGCACATAGCATAATTTTAATGTCAATATATGACACACCAATTTGGGGTCTGAGAATTATATCTGGCAAGAAAACCCAAAGGTTCAGCAATGCTGAAAAACAGGTCTGAAATTGTCATTTATTTACTGGAGCTCTATTGATGCTTGAATAAGCGGTGATTCCATTATGTCTTGTCTGGAATTGTCAAAATAAAATATTTTCTATTATCCATTACAGTATGTTTTTCTTGTGTGTTATAGGTTGTATTGATAATATACTGTGCTAAGAATGGTGATATCTACAGGATTATTAATGGCTATGACACATGCGGGAACATATGTGGCCGCTATAATGCACCAGTAAAAGAATATGACAAACTAGGAGTGTGTTTGGGAGAAGATAGGAGCCAGGAAAAGTAGGTGATGGATCTGGAACCATAAATAGCAATAACATTTAGATTTTATTCTTGTGTATTTTTGTATTAGGGTGGATAATTACATACAGGGCTATGTTGTGTTTGAGAAAGCATATGTAGGTATAGGTGGGTACAAAGAACACATTTAAAACACTGTAAGGACAGACAGATATAACTTCCTCATTATACTTTCCTTTTACATAATTGTTGAACACAATGTGCATAAAAATATGTTTTGTGATATCCCTTGGTTTAATAACATTGCTTTTTATCCAGATTACTTCAGATCTCGTGGACTGACAAAGTGAACAGGAAATGTGTCGAGACATGCAGTGATGGATAGTGAGTATATTCATTTCAGCTGTTTGTCTACAGCAACTGTTTATCTTAAATATGCTGTACTTCAAACTCCTGATTTTTTCACTTTCTAGTGAGGAGTTTTTTAATCGTTGCATTGAAAAGGCTGACACAGGAATGGACAACACAGTCTCCAAAACAGGATTTAAAAATTTTTTCCAGGTAAGTTTTATAGAAGAAGTAGTGTCTCAGTACACAGCCTCCTAAGATTTATCTATCCTGAAAATACTAGACCACTTGCATACAACACATTTTTGTTACATATCAGTAATCCACTAAATCCCTGACACATCTAGTTGGTCCAAATGTTTTCCAAAGAACTTCATTTCCAAACAATTGGAATTTCCGTTCTTTCGCACATTTTTGAGACTTTCTTATATCTGTATGATTATTATAATTCCTTGTTGCATGTATATTGTCTTTTTGGGGTTTGGGAAGTAGATGGATGTATAACTATTTTTGATATGAATAATGAGCAGTTTATAAAAGTACCATCAATATTTTTTTAAATTTGTTGTGTTGTCATTCCCAGCATTTAAAATTCGAAACATTTTCAAATTATGTTTGTGACAAAGTAATGTACAACTTTTTGCCATTTTAAGTAATTTTTTTACATTTCAGGAAGTTTCAGAAGATCTTCAGATGAGCTGGAGAGAGATTCTCTATCTGAGCCTTATTGCTTTTGGTATGTAATAATGCTTCTTTTCAATATGAAGGCAAATGTGTTGTTTGTGATTTCTCATCCATTGCTGATTTTGATTCTCACATACTGCATAGACAAATATAACAAATATTAACCAACAGTATAAAATCTACTGTTAAGAAAGCGTAAGTGGTACAGAATGACAACTTACTTTTCCATAGGCTTCTCACTCGTACTTCTCATCCTGTTTCGCTGCTTTGTTGGTATCCTTGTTTGGCTGGTGCTCATTGGCGTCACACTAGCTTGTATCGGCGGTACCATCTACTTATGGTGAGAACATCAGATGAATAATAGGTTAATAACACAGCTAGCCATAAGCACTATGGAAATTAAGCTCCATACACTTTCAGTCACTGACACAATTTAGAGGTGAGTGGGTAGCGTGCTGTGGCCATTTTTATACCAAGGCAAGAAGCTCTGGTCCTTGCTGTCTTGTTCAGTGAAGTATATTTTTTTTCCCCTCATGTGTGCCTGCTATCACAAGAGGTCTTTTCTCTTTCAATTTTTATACTGAAATAGAAATAAGTTTCAGTTACAGAGTTTCCACATTACATTTACTGAACAGTTATTTAATTCCATTACCTACCTACATGTGAACTAGGAATGCTGGCGTCCATCTTATTAGTAGAGATGAAAGATGTTTTGGAATAGTGTACTAAGGATAATACCCAGACCTAAAATGTATGATATACTGGAAGAATGTCTTGTGTTCTTAGGATGCTTCAAGTAAGAAGATGACATTCTGCAATTCACAGGTGTAAATGAGTGAAAATGGTTTGTGAAAATGTGAGTCAGATTGAACTTGCTTAGGATAAGGTCAAATGGCAGACTTTTGTTATAACAGTGAACCTTTGGGGTCCACAGAAAATTCTGTGACCATTTGGATACCTGCCATGTACTCGTTCTGATATTTCTATAAGATATTTACTTTCACTGTTCTGTGTTACAGGATTCTGTGGAAGTTAAAGAAAGATGAGTTGAAGAATACAGAGGCCAACACAGATGTTACAAGTCATCTGGCTTTTGCTGTTGTTGCTACTATCATTACGGTAAAAAGAATTGTCAATGCAGTAATAGTGACTGAATTCTTTTATCATGTAACTACAATAATCCAAAGTTTTTACATTCTGCCCAAAACATAAATCTTGGTATTTTTATAATATGTAACCATTGCTATAAATACAGCTGAGCTCCTCAAACAAATCAGCCCAGAATGAAAAATTAAGAGGTTATTTTTTGATACTACAATAACATATTTGTGCAACATCAAAATAATGACTGATGGGATGAAATGACAAAAGTGAAGGTAGTAAGTATGCTCAGAAATGAACTGTGTGTATCTTGGATGTAAGTCACTTCCAATGTATATATTTTTTACACTTGATTTTTGGCTTGTCAGTCAGTTGCTGCATAGTTACTTTTCAAAAGTTTCACATATGGATATGCTCAGTAACTCACTAGCCTCAGATTTGGATGCTTTGACCAACATGTTTTCTTGAACCCATCTGAGTGAGATTGTGGTACAGAGTTTTCCTTGAGAATCTGATATAAAGCTCATCCAGAAAACACTTGCATAAAGCCATAAATTATATTTCTTATCGGAAAAGTCCATCACCAGACCCTGTTCTAAGTGAATTCACTCCAGTTCATATCATTTTGCTTAGATGATATGTAGTTTATGTATAAGTATAGCAAGTAATGTTCCCAAGGTTTTCTGCGCTGTTTACACCTTACCCTGTCTATGTTGCATGTTTCACCAATTCATCATTTTATGAACTTCTCATCAAGTAATTTCCTATATTATTCTGCAATCACATTCATTATATACCCAAATTTTCTTCTATGTACTTTGTTCTCAAATATCCTTTAGAGATAGAAGTTCAGCATATAAACAATGGAAAAATTATAAACGGTATATATAAATTATCTTTACAACTTTACTTGTGAATAAAAACTTTATGAAAAGACAGGCACACTGTTTGAGTGTCTTCACTCTGTATATCTACTTTATTTTTCAGGTGATAGTATTGCTGGTAATTCTGGTGATGAGGAAACGTATCAAGCTGGTGATCCAACTGTTTAAAGAGGCTGGAAGAGCCATTAACAGCATGCCACTGCTGTTTCTGGAACCCCTACTGGTATGTTACAATGCCTGTACCTCATATGTATTACAGGTTCCTTTATTCCAAAGGAACATCTGTTTGGAGGAACAAAAGGAAAATTGAACAAATGCCAGTAGGTAAATCTGACACATAAAGTTAAAATTTCTGCAGATGTTGGGGACAGTGTTAAAAAATCCCAATATCATGTTTCCCATAATAGACTCAGTGAGGTTAGAGGTTTAGCTGACTTACAGTTATGTTAAAAAGTGAAACTAACTGCACTAATTGCTTAACAAATATTACAAACTAACTTTCCCTTATTTTTGGTAATGACATTTAATTCCAGTCCAGATCTAACAGTTAAACAACCATGATTCAATCTTCCGGAAATGGGTAGTACCATGATTCAGTTTCTTAAGCCTGGTATGTGAAAATGGGATGGATCTCATGGAAATAAGGTTTACATTACAATAGAGAAGCTTTAAGAAAGATGTCTTATGCACCCTAAATAATAAAAAGTTAAACAAATACATGGGATAAAAATAAGGGATTTAATTTAAACATCAGTCAGTTTATATTTGTACTGATCACAGGCTATGATTATGATGTTTCAGTGTGAATATGAAAGTTTCTTACAGACGTTTGTGGCACTAGGAGTGGTAGTGGCTGCATGGCTCATGTTCAGCCTTATAATTGAAAGTTCTGGGTTCTTCACTCCCAATAATCCAGCCTCTTACGAGAAAGACCAAACAATGAAGGTAAGCAGGTTGCATATAAAATATAGGGTAGATTCTTACTTAATTGTCCTGAATAAATAACAAAAACAACTGAATTATGTTTTTTATGATGGTTTCATAATATACACTTAGGATTACATTCAGAGGGGTTTTTACAATCCCCAATGCCTTCCTCCATAGAATATCTTGAATGGCATGGCCTGTAAAAGACAGTCATGGCTGTATGACGAGTGTTAATGTGTCAGTTGGAGTGATTAAGGAACTACTATTTTGTCAACATCTGAGTTCATTTGAGGATCTCTGAAAAGTATGCACCAAATAACTGCTGTGATACAGAAGGTAAAAACTGAACCACTGACAATACTACCACCACCTTCAAACTTTACACAGCACACGGTAGGCATGTTAGCTTGTTGACAATAGGAAAACACTTTTCTGTAGGAGCACGTAAATATAATAGATGCAGAACAATGTTAAGAGAACTGTGACTAAGACTGCAGTAATCTGGCAGTAATTGAGTTCGTCCCTCATAAAATATTCCTGCCAAAGAATTTTTCTGATCAGTAGCATCAATATGCAATGGATTATTTATGCAACTAGCACACAGGTATGTTCAGTGCTCCCAATTTTTGCCTGGGATAGGGCATAGCCTGTTAATATAGCGTGGTAGAGTGATTGTTCAGAATATATTATTCCAGAATTTGTTACAGGTAACACAGTGGTACAACCTGCTGGGTCTCTTCTGGTTCATACAGTTCTGTACTGGCTGCCAACACATGATTATTGCTGGTGCGGTTGGAAAATGGTTCTTCACAAGGTATATGCAAATCACTGTCAGAAAGTTAGAATTTATACAGTTTGACTGCTACCAATAAGTGGGAGTCCAACAGTAGAGTTGCACGAAACAGGCTTCATGTACCAGCATTTCATTCAGCATCCAATTGTCAGTCCTCTGTGTTGTAGGTAAATGAAAGAGTGACAGATTTACAAATTTTATACAATACCAGGGAAGGGCCTAAATCAGTACAATGTGTTTCACATCCAACCAACCTACTTTCATAAGTCTCTATTTTCTTTAACAAACTTTCAATTGGATAGTTTCCAAAAGATTTCTCCACAAAAATTAGATTTTTACTTTCAAGCAATATGTTTTGTTTTGCCATCAGGAATAAAAACAACCTAGGTTTTCCTGTCTCAAAAAGTTTCTTTAACCTGGTGCGTTACCACTTGGGAACAGTGGCAATGGGATCTCTTTTCATCGCCCTGGTGCAACTTGCCCGCACCATCCTTGCAGCTATTCAGTCTCAGCTCAAAGGTCATGAAAATGCAGTTAGCAGGTGCCTGTTCAGAACCTGCCAGTGTTGCCTCTACTGCTTCGAAAAGATCCTCAAGTACCTTTCGCGTAATGCTTATATTGAAACAGGTAACTGGTAGGATTAAACTTTTCACTGTTATTTGATGTGTAACTTTCACCAAGTATACAACAGCATGTAATATACACCTTTATTGGCATTAATGTAGGACTCATGCTTTTTTTGTGGTGATAAATTTGAAAGTTTGTGTATTTTATTGAAGCTGTTTTTCAGTACAATGTAAAGTGGCATTATGACAACTGAAAGATTTTTTAGTTTGATATAATTAATCTTTGTAACATGACACATGGAATTTGTATGTTCTTATTTTTTGTTAATCATTCTGTCAGCTTCATATGTTATATAGGATTCTTCAATATGAATCAGAAAGGACACAAACTGAAGTATTCATGTCCTGTCTTATATTACTTTCCATTATTTTCTAGAGGGACTGACAAAACTGGTAAACCTTGACTTTGATAAATGGTCTCATGAACAAGATTAGAATTAGTGCCCTTCATTGCTATTTACTACTGAAAATTTAGTGAGATTTTTACATTACCACATTATAAATACATCTACTGATTTGTTAAGGATCAGATTCCTTGTACAGTACAGTTTCTTACCTTTACTTGCAGCAGTCTTTGGATATAGCTTTTGTCGAGGTGGGCAAGAAGCCTTCAGGCATCTGGCATCAAATGCACTGCGAGTTGCAGCCATCAATTCCGTTGGAGACTTTGTACTCTTCCTAGGCAAAGCTTTGGTGGTGGTTGCAACCATTCTCATTGGCATCACAATGTTTGATGTGGGTTACCATCATTACATCCGTGTTCACACTGTTTTTAATCTGTTTCCACACCTAAAGCAGAAATAATATATGTCTCTTGCTGTTCACATATTAAGTCATAACACATAATTGTTCTTTAAAATAAATGGACCCAGTAGCATTGGAATGAATTAACTGTTGCTGATTGCTGGTTTGCCATGTTTTGAGCCAGCAGCAGTATTATTTATGCTTGGGGCACTTGTTGGGCTTCTGAGAAATTCTTACAGTCTGATATGCATAGATAGTAACGCATTTACTGCCAAAATCGGGGTCGTACACTTACCAGATATACTTTAATACTGCAAACGCTGAAAATCATGGAAAACTCCATCACACTCTCTGTCATCTCACATTTCATACTGTCTACCTTAGTGTGTACTTTTCTTATACTTTTACTACTTTGTCACATGACTTAAATCACTCAAATCTGGGTCAACCATTTGGTCTTTTGCTTTTCATTTGTTATTCCACACCTCAGATATTCTATGTATATTCTTATTAAGTCTAAATCACTGAGTTGTTTTCATCACCGATTCCTTTAGGCATCTAATTGTCTGATTCTTTGCAGGACAAGACTGGCATCCGTCATGTGTGGGTACCATTAACATTAGCTGGAATATTTGCCTATCTTGTTGCTCACTGCTTCATAACTGTATATGAGGTAAGATTATAGCTGCTTTATTGTTGGGTGTATGTTCATCCAGACTGCAGTGGTTACTACACTTTGTCTAAATATCCTCACCGCACACGATAGGGTGATGTTCAGTTTTAAAACTGGAAAATTAGTCTGCTTTTATTTTTTATGTTTTCTTTAAGATATACTGTTGAGTCTAGTGCTACAGACTAGGAAATTATCACCACCTTAGTCTCCTTTTTTAACAGAATAGCACAAGACATACCTTTCATGAAATCACAGTGTATAGGATGATCCAAAATGTAACTAGGAATTTTAAACTCTGATCTATGTAGTGAGTGATTATAATTTAAAGACACTTTGCTGACACGCTGTAATAATGTAGCCATCTCCTCATCTTTTCTTTAATTAATTTTGTATGGTACCCAGCAGTGGATATTCATCAACAAAGAGTGCATTCAATTACCTGGCATCAAAGTTGAACTAAACAGGCATATAGTTTCAAACCTCATCAAAAAATGTTGCCAGGCAGGATCAGTTTTGGACAATTACTCTCAAAGTGGCAGGCCTTCGACAGCAAGAACTGAAACCAATATTCAGAAAGTTTGAGGGCAAATGCATTGGACACATTGTAATATAAATGGCTTGAGGTGCTGATTTGAATGTGATTACCATGCCTCAATGTTTAGGTAAAATCATCCAATTTGGTAGGTACATTTTGGACCCCACACTATGAATTACACACATCAACACTAAACAAGCAGAAGCATCAGGCAGACTGAATCAAGGCAGGGCTGTCAGAAACTGTCTTTTTGCAGCTAAATCAGTACTGTCAAGTATTAAAATATATTAAAATTTTTGCCGTCAATCACAAATATAATAATGTTAAAAGATTAAAACATCATTTAACGTTCCCCATCGAGTACTCGATTACAATAGGAACTTACACGACTAGTTTCGGCTATAATTTAGCCATCAACGGGTGTTATGTAGTTTAAACTTATCACTGAATTACTGATTTTATTGTTTTTATGATTTATAGTCTTCATTTTTCTGATGATGTTCTTGTCCATTTATATTGTTTCTTCGTTCGTTGTATTATCACAGGTCACTATTAGGTTTGTATTTCGTATTTTGTAGTGACGTCAATATTTTGAGTAGGACTGTGAAGTAAAGTTTCAATTTTATCAATGACAATTGAAAATAGAATATAGAAAACAAAATAAATAGTAAAAATAAATCATGTGAACTTACCCAAGAAGTAATATCGTAATCGTATATAAGCGAACGGAGATGTACTGGACTGTATTGGAGCGTGGCTGGTTACCGACTAGCACCGCATGGGGTGTAACAATTTGGTGGCATGTTACTAGGAGAAGACTGCCAGCTGGCTTGTGTGTGACACATGACTGAAAAAGGTTAAAAATGTAAAACGGGAATATTTAAAAAAAATTTATTAGTGAGGTGGTTCAGAGATTTATTATTAGGTGAAATAAATTTGTCACAAATGTAAAGTTTGTGGCAAAATTTTCACTGTGTTGCTAAGGAGATGTAAATGGGACATAATACGTATTGTTTCAAATAATTATAAATCTTGACCTCAGATGGAGATACGTTGTCAGTTCCATTCCTTTTGAGGTTGGCTGGATGTTGTTGTACATAGTGACAGAAAAGTCCCAGTGACACTACTAGGACATGAAATCTGCCTTTTAGCCTGTGGCCAGCCACTGTCATGGCTCAATTATGTTCCCTGGTTTGGTTTCAGATGGCGATAGATACTATATTCCTTTGCTTCTGTGAGGACTGTGAGCGGAATGATGGACTCAGTAGACCCTACTATATGAGCAGAGGACTTATGGTAAGGCAAATGAGGGGTGTGAAAGAATGGATTTGTAATGTATATCTGACAAAAATCTGATTATAATGAGGTTTCTGTTGACATATTTTACAATAGAAATAAGGTATATTCATGTCAGAGTTGTAACTAAAAATGTCCAGACAAATAATGGAATGGTCTTTAAAAATTTTCATTGCAAAGGGGGAGGTTATATAGTTTGATAAGTCAGTAAAAGTTTATTAAGTTTTTTGAAGAATTCTTTCATATTTGCAATAAATAATTTTTATGTACACAAACGAAAAATTGCAAAGAAAGCATTGGTAAACTGTGTTGGAAAATACCCCTCGTCCCTGTTGATCACTAAATGTGTTTTGTCTAGGAGTTTGTGCAGAACAGCAAAAAGGCCCTGGCTGTGTTGGATGCATCTAGCACATCTCCAAGTCAAGCCTGGAGTACAACATCCACGAGACAGGCAACATCTGGCAAGTAAGTTACCTGACTGCTTGTTGAATTTTGTTATAGCATGGAAGACAAAAGCAGCAGGTCAGGACCATGGCCTGAAAATGCACGATGTACATTATACTAGTGCATTTGCAGCATACAAAACTTATCAATACAGCCAGTGATTTGCAAATGCAACCACCAGCTATATTTATGAAGCACAAAGAAAAGTAAAAAGTAACATCATACAAAGAGATAGTGTTACCAAGTCTTGTCCCATCCTTGTAATTTCTTTTTGCTTACCCTCAATAAACTCAGTATCTGGACTCTTGCTCCCAGTATCCATTGGACAGGAGTGTGTGGGGTACAAAGCTGGTCAATATGCAGTAGCTAAGAACAAAAATCTCTTTCCCCTGCCAGAAACCAAACCCTAGGTATAAGCTATCCAGCTCTTTTTGTAGGCAATTTGAAGTCTCATATTCCAAAATCCTAGGCTTTTTTCTTTATAAATTGTCTGGCTTGTAGTAATCATTCCATATCTCTGGAATCATTCTTAATTTTCTCCTATCATAGTGGCTGCATTGAAAACAGTAAACCCCACCAAAATTCTTGCCTTCAAATCCAGCTGCGTTTCCAGGTCATAAAAGCCAAGATTTCAATATCAATAATATTAGGGGATGTACAAACATAAAGAGTATCATTATGCATGTACATCTTCCAAATATATGTTTTATGCCTATGAAAAGTATGCAGAATTACTGTTTTATGTATCCTAATCATTTGTGTTTTTAAGCCAACAGGATGACAAAAGTTATTGAACAGAAAAAATAAGATTTTCTGATTTCCAGACATTATGATTAAAATTGAAAATTTCAGCCACAAATTCCTTAGAGACAAGTACGTAAATGTTTCTCTTTGTTGTTTAAAAACCTTACACTTTTGGTAAAGAAAAGTCTGGTTATTGCTTGTTGGTGTGTTCACACAGTTGTCAAAGTTTGGACATTAATGTTGACACAATATTTTATCTCTGAATGTATAAATATATATTTTTACCTTTAAAACTCAATTTGTATCCACTCATTACTTTCTTACAAATCTTCTGTTCATGGAATGTGGGGCCATCAGTATGGGTTACATTAAATGCTGTTCCAATGTGACTACAATAACTTGCTTTGCTGATAATAGGCTTTACACAGAATGAATTGTGATTTTACTGACATTTTTATACACTAAAGAAGATGAATACTGAACTATAAAGAGATCTGGCCTTAGTTCTACTAAAAAATAATGTGTGTCCATACCTCCTGACAATAAGCAACAGTTCCACAGAGACTACAGGCCTTACATGTAAATACTTCATACTACTAAGAAATCAGCATGACAAGGTTATTAACATATAAAACTTCAATCAACGTTATGCAGGTTTGTTACAAAAAAATGTGACAAATTATTTTGAGCTAAGTTACCATTTCTTTTAAAGATGATATACCATGACTGTTATTAAATGTTAAATATATGATGTCCTGAGAGTTAAGTCTTTTCTTCTTAACCTTTTAGAGTAGATTCTCCATATAGTGAATTTCATTGATGTATCTCCAATGTGTATCGTTTGTTAACTTCTAGACTTTAAAATAATGTGTAGGAACAAAATTATTCAGTATTGTTAACAGCACTTGATATATATTCTTTGTCATTAGCTATACACTGAATAGCTTTCATATGAAATTATCTTAATCTCATTGCTTGTCTATGTTGAAACTTGGTTATGTGGGAATGAAAATTTATAAAAAAACATTTTCCATTTTGTGAAAAATATGGCAAAGAAACATGTCCAGCACAGTGAAAAATACTGCAATCTATGGGGATGATTTTGATATTTAGAAAAACAATGTGTTACTTGTTTGTCTTATTTGTATGTAACACAGATAAATCTTTGCAAAATCAAGGTTTTGCACACTGAGACTGTGAACAGCACCTTGAAAAAGGAATGTCTTTTTCACTTTACTGTACATAAAACTGTTTTGGGTTTAAATTATAATTGAGCTGTAAGAATAACACCAATAAGATGAGAAGTGGAAGTGTGTTGCTCGATTAGCACACACGTTAAAAAACGTGGAGCTATATCCTACCAAATATTTTAACTTGCAAGTTTATTTTGGACAGCAAAGATGCAGGTTAAGTGACATCGAGGGTCTGGGATACCAGTGCACATTGTCATGGAAACTAGGCTATCGTATTTTAATGTATTATTATATTATAATGAGACAGGTGTGATTAAGAAATATAAGACTGTTTGTTAGTAATACTTTAAAATATAATAATTTTAATTGTTATATATATGGTATGTTTTTATGATTTAACAGTGAACCAACATACTGCATTATTGCTTTACCTCTTATATTATATACCATCCCAAAATGTATTTTCAGTTTGTTCATGTTAACTTTGAGTACAATTCTAGATTCAAAGAAAAACTGAGAACAGTAAGTTCCGTC